GCTATGCTCAGCTCTTGGTCTGTTGGCTAAGATCAAGTGCAGGGTCTCTATATCCTGTAAGCAGGCATCATTCCCAAATATGCTGACGGCTCCTGGCTGCAAGCATCTGAGACTCTCTGCCCCTTTCTCTGGCCCCAGCAGAATGTTCAGTCCACCGAAGAAAGCCTAGGGGTGGCAGGGAGTAATGGCCCACCAACAGCAGAGAGGCACTGGTGTATAAATACCCTAGCTCCCCTTCCTTTCAAGCAGAACACCTCTGAAGCATGCACTACACAATTTCCCAGAGATCCCCAGCATCATGGATCTACCATAATTTGCTCATTAACACAATTTGTACTAGCTTCCTTCCTTTTCTATCTCACTTCCCCATCCCCGTGCTTCCTGGGGTCACTTGACAAATAAATAACTTTCTCTTAAACCTCTGACTCAGAGTCTGCTCTCCTGGAAAACCCTAATCTAAGACATGATCTAAGATGGCCACGAATGCTCCACCCATTTCATCCACATCCCAGCCAGCAGGAAGGAAAAAAACAATGAAGTAGGGTGAGTCCCCTCCCTTTAAAGGACATGTCTTGGGACTTCCACAGGATACTTCAGTTTGCCCCCCACCCCCACGCAGAATATACATGGCTTCATGTATGTTAACAAAGGAAACTGGGAGATCTAGTTCTTATTCTGAGTGGCCCTACAAGGTCAAGCATGCTATTTTTAAGGAAGAAGGGGAAAATGGTTCTGATAGGCCAGCTTGTCAGTATCCAAGGAGTAAGAAAGACAGAGCCGGGTGGCACAGGCTGGGGACCCAGGAGCAGGTGTTTGGGTTCCTGATGAACCATAAATAGCATCTCACAAAGCTCCTCCCTGGCAGCCCCTTAAGCCATCATACCTTGGTGCCTGCCTCCCCACCTGCTCCCCAGCACCATCTAAGCATAACGTACTCGGTGTCTCCAATCCTGGGAGACAAGCCAGGACTTAGCTACATCAAACCATGCCAGGATGCAATTTGTATATTTAAATCATTCAAGCTGGCTTTGCCTTCACCTTAATTTTAGATAAATAAGAAGTGCCGCACAAGACCCCAGCCCTCAAAGGGCTTTGGACGATCCATAAAGAGGCATGACAGATGCCTGATGAGGATGTGGGATGACATGTGGCTGATGACAGATGAGCAGTCCGGAAGTGAAAGCCACAGTAGAAAGCTCTTTGGACACCGCGAACTCACAGAACATTGGCGTGGCAAGGAAGTACAGAGGTTTAAGAAGACAGCCACTGAATGCTTACCACCTGCAGCAATGTGCTAGCTAGGAGGACATTTAAGCTTTTTTGGCCGCTCGGTGAAGCAGGTTGCATTTTTGGCACCATTTACCCGATGAAGCAGCTAAGGCTTCGAAACGTGGAATAACCTGTCTTCAATCACACAGCCCGTAAGAGACAGAGAATACATTTTTAAAAATATGAATAATAATAAAGCATACTTTAACTTTTTTTTATATGCCAGGCCTGGGGCCGAGTGCCTGTCCTGCTTCTGCAATATAAGCCTCACAGTGAAGCCTCAAGCCCTTGAGAGACGTACAACTGTTATTTCCATTTTAGATGAAGGAACTTGAGCCAGGGAGGTGAAGAAGCTAGAAAACAGTAACACCAGGATTTAAAATATTGTTGTCCAACTGCCAATCGGGGGCTTGGATCCCTTCTAGGGAACTGGCTGCCCATGGACGCATGGCTGGCCCCTAAAAATGCCCAAGGTCAGAGAAGGCACAACCTCCTAAACCAGCCATTCCTTTCCTGGAGGAAGCCAGAGGAACAGTCTATGGTTTTGAGGTCCCGGACTGTGAGCTCCCCACGGAACGGAACATTTCTTTTACTCAATAGCCCACACAAAAGTGTGCCCTAGGATACGGCTCAGAAAACATTCTCTGTAAAGGATCAGAGAGTAAATGTTTCAGCTTTATCTCCCACATCATCTCTGTCACGCCCCACAGCTCGGCTGTTGGAACTTCAAATGCAGCTGTGGACAATGCATAAACCAACAGGCACACAGATACATTCTAAGAAAACTTTATTTATGGGCACTAACATCAGGACGCCATAGGATTTTCATGTATCACAAAATACTATTCTCCTTTCGACTGTTTTCCAACCATTTTAGAAAGGTAAAAACCATCCTTGGCCCATGGGCTATACAAGGTCAGGGGGCAGGCCAGATTTGACTCACGGGCAGTAGGTTGCCAACCCCTGAGCTAGGATCTAGAAAAGTCTCTGGACAGAAGTGATGCTTGAGTGCTTCAGTGTTCTTTCCCACTTACGAAGTTGCTGAAAGATAGGACAGTGCATTGCTTTTTTTAAGAGGCTGCCAAATGGTTAGAGAATTCAAGTCAAGGAGAATTCTGGCCGGCCCACCTCATCCCCTAGGGCTGACAAATAATGCTTAGAACCTGAAAAACAGAATGCAAAGCAAGGGCCCATATAATCAGAGCCCATTTGCCTCGCTAAGGAAGTTGAACCTTCTTCAAGTTGCCATTTGGGTGTGTTGTACCACGTGACAGTTCCCCGTGATTAGCGTGCCAGTGGTTTACTGCCCCGTATCTCCATCCTGACGCAGAGAGGTTAAATGACTTGCCCAGTATCACCCAGCTTGTAGCAGGATTTCACACGCTGGGATGCCGGACACCAGTTTCTAGGCATTGCAGATCCTGCACCAGATGAGCAGAGCCAGGAACCACAGTCAGCCTCCCACTGGCAAGATGGGCAGTGGGTCCAAGCTGGTCTGCTGTGTATTTATTGTTTCAGGCTTGATCTAGGCATACCCTAGATGCCCAGATGCAGTGTCCAACCTAAAGCCCTCCTCGGTTTCCAACTCTACCCACAACCAAATGACGCTGGGAGGCCTCTGCCCCAGCAGCAGGGGGGGTCAGCCTTTACAGAGGGAGGGATTAATTAGAAAGTCCAGTGGGACGGCCTGGGATAGAATCCCTGCTTCCTACAAAAGCAGCTTGTGCTAGGAGTCTACGTGCTGCCCAGGACAAGAGGTGCCCAGTCAGGCTGGGGCAGAGGAGTTGAACCACATGCTGTGTTTTCAATAACAATGGTAAGTGTGATCATTGTGTTAAAAATAAACATTTCAGGCAAAGGACAGTCAGATCTATATGGCATCAAACAAGAAATGTGACGGTTGTCATTCATTCGATCATTCATTCACTCATTCATCTGGTCATCCATCCCTCCTTCCAAACACCTATCTATCCATCTGATGAATCAATCATTCTTTTGCATACATGATCAATACTGCCTGAGCATCCCCTAGAACTCAGGTCCTATGTTAGCCCTGGAGAGGAGAAGTACAAAGATGAATTAAGATCTAGTCCAAAGGGTTAACATTTTAGAGGGGTGAGGTTTCAGAGCATGTTGATGGGAACCAGTCGTGGGAAAGAGGGGCAGGTGAAGACCCTTACCAAAGGGCCACTCAAAGCCAGGGAGCCAGGTGGGTCATCTACCTGGACGTGAATGAATGTGTGTTCCTTAATCACCTCCGCCTAGTTTCCCTCCAGCCCATGTCCCTCACCGATGACGAGGCAATCATTCCCTAAGAGATCAGAATTTGGGTCAGTGAACAGATGTCCCAAATTGGTAAAAACAGTGGAAAGTTGGGAAGAACTTTTAATCTGAATTGTCCTGTGAAAGGATATGCAGAAGGACACACAGGCCTCCTTGGGTGTTCAAGGAGACCCTGATGATCGTCCCCTCTGTGACAAGACTTGCTCCTTGACCAAACTTTGGTAGGCTCCACTTTGGACCATGCCCAAACTCGGGCTCTATCTTTGCCCCATTTGGTCCAGTTTTAGCCACAATTATGCAGGGTCAGTTTAGCAAAAAAAACCCACCTTTGATACCAGATCAGATTCCTCATCCTCCTAGCCTTGATGCCTTATTACCCTGGTCTGTCTTCAGCAAGAATCCTCCTGAGCCAGTTTAGCCAGAACCACTCCCCCTTACCCCTGATATTTCCTCTTAGTACTTTTCCACCCACTGACCCCCCCACCCTGATGCTTGGCTACACACCCCTCCTTTCCTCATTGTATTTGGGATGGAGCCCCGTACTGTACCGAGGTCTCTCTTTCCCAATTGCAATCATTTCTGAACAAAATTTGCCTTTACTGCTTTAACTTCTGTCTGGCTCTTGTTTTCTGACACACAGATGCCACAGAAGGAAGGTCCACATGGAAAAGATTCATTTGTTCATTCAAAAACAACTCAGTAGATGGTACCTGCTTTGGAAAGCAGCATATCCGAGTGGTTCTGAGTCAGAGAGAGTAACAAATACCATCTGAATGCAGAGCATCTTTGGGCCCATTGCCAATTCAGTCCTCTCATCCCTAGACACCCGCGTCTATTTACTGGCAAGGTATGACCAGTTTCCTGGCTTCAGTTTCCCCCTCTGTAAATTGGCTTATTAGCAGCCTCCATGCAGGCAGGTGTGAGGATCGAGCCAGGCAAGGAATGTGCATGCTTGGCACGTGGTTGGTACCCTTGCAGATGCTCAGTGGATACCAGCGGTGGGGTCTGTAGTAGTCATCAGCAGCATCAGGTGTGAGAGAAGAAGGGGCAAGAAGATGGAAGCATATATAGCATTTGAATCCAAGAACGTTTATGGGGTGCCTGGAGTTTGACACAATCCCTAAACTCAAGAATCAATACAAGTAATTAGAACAAGGGGGTACAGAGAGATCAATGTCTCAAGGGCACTAGAGCAGGAGAAATTACTTCCAGCTGGGGGGATAATGGGGCATCAAAGAATGAGGTGATGATTGGAGTCCTGGGTGGCTCAGTCGGTTAAGCGTCTGCCTTTTGCTCAGGTCATGATCCCAGGGTCCTGGGATCAAGTCCCCCGTTGGGCTCCCTGCTCTGCGGGAGGACTGCTTCTCCCTTTCCCACTCCCCCTGCTTGTGTTCCCTCTCCCCCTGCTTGTGTTCCCTGTCAAATAAATAAATAAAATCTAAAAAAAAAAAACAAAAACGAGGTGACATTTGGGATCAGGCCACGACGAGAGTTTATACCCGGAGAGGGTCGGGAAGGGCACTTCAAGACAAGAGTGTGGCTCGCACACGTGAAGACCCACTGACCCGCCACATTTCAAAGCTAACACCAGCCGGCATCCTTTACTCACAATCCTAAAATCCACAATGCCCTGAAAACCAGAATGGTGATCTGATATACGAGCGTGTATCATTTTATCATTGTTCCCGCCTTGTGTGAATGATGGTGCTTCGTGGCAGAAAAGACAAGAGTTTGATGATAGCTTATTGTCCCAGAACCCATGGGGGAAGTTATGTACTGTAAGCTGTATCACACCGCCTTTCTAAAATTTAGTAATTCTTTTTTTTTAGATTTTATTTATTTGAGAGTGAGAGAGAGCACAAGTGGGGGGGGGTGGGCAGAGGGAGAGGGAGAAGCAGACTCCCCACTGAGCAGGGAGCCCAATGCAGGACTCGATCCCAGGAGCTGGAGATCATCAACTGAGCCAAAGTCAGACACTTAACCAACTAAGCCACCCAGGTGCCCCTAAAATTTAATAATTATAATATTTCTAAATTTCAAAACATGACTAATTTTGAATAAGAGATGAATCTATGTGTTTTTTTTTAAGATTTATTTATTTATTTATTTGACAGAGAGAGAGAGACAGCGAGACAGGGAACACAGCAGGGGGAGTGGGAGATGGAGAAGCAGGCTTCCCACCAAGCAGGGAGCCCGATGCGGGGCTCGATCCCAGGACCCTGGGATCATGACCTGAGCCGAAGGCAGACGCTTAACGACTCAGCCACCCAGGGACCCCAAGAGATGAATCTATGTTAATAACACCTAATAACTTCTCTGAGCACTTAACTAAGTCCTCCTGACGTAGGTAAGTGTTATTATACTATTATAATTATTGTTGTTAATTTTCTTTGCACAGATGAGGTAACTGATGCAAAAGGAGGATCCTAACTTAACCAGACTCACACAGCTGGGAAGTTTCAAAGCCAGGTTTCAAAGTAACAAAGCCTTGCCTCCAAACCTGTATTCTTCAGTGTTACACTCGACCACCTGGATAGCTACAATGAAGTAAGAGCAAGTATGGTCTTCATTCCTTCCTTTGATGCCCTTTTTCCCTATGCCTGCCCCTTCAAAGAAGAGCTATCCTTCCCACCACACTGATGTGGGCCTGCTCTAGACAATGAAATGCTATTAGAGGTGCCAGGTGCAGAGACTTTAAATTTGCTTTTTGGGGTTTTGCTGGCCTCTCATACTCTTGTGATTTATTATGGAAAAAGCATGATTCACATAGCTGCATGAATCTCAGACGGATGGGCAAGTAGACCAGACCTGAATCTGATTTGGAGGCTGAAGCAGAGCTGCCTCAGACTCATGAAGGAGAAAACAACGCTTGTCGTTGTAAGACACTGGGCTTCAGGGACTGTTTGTTACACAGCATTATCCTAGCAATAGCTGGCTCCTTTGGATTGCGGAAATGAGGTTTTAAAGTTGACGTTAGCCATATGGGGAAATATCCTAGAAATGATGTTAAAGACTTTTAATTTCATCCCGAGAGTAATGAAGAGTCTTCAAATGCTTCCATGCAAAGACATGAAATAATACAACTTCTATTTTCTACATTGCAATCAGAGTCATTTTTTCAAAACACAAACTGAGTCACTACCTCTGTCCCCCATTACCACACATACACTTAACATTCATCAGTGGCTTTCTTTTGTTCTTAGGGTAAGACCACAAATCCTTAACATCATCCAAATACCTTCTGTCTGGACCCCGAAGGCTCCCCAGTCACATACTGTACAGTACTTCCCGACACTGACCTTCCAAACACACTGGCCTTCTTTCAGTTTCTTGAATATGCACTACTCCTTTTTTTGGCCCTAGGACCTTTACACATGCTTCTCTTGCCGCTGGAAATGCTCGTTCACTAACTCTTTGCCTACTTAACTCTCAGCTTTATTGTCACTTCCTTCTAGAAGCCTTTCCGGAGCTTTTGGTAATTGTTCCTGTGCTGAATGTCCTGAGCACCATGCATTTCTCTTTCATTTCACTCACATAGTTGTAATTTCACACTTCTTCATGAAACTTTATTAGTCTCTGTCTCTGCTACTAAATTGTCTATTTCCTGAAGGCAATTACCAGGTCTTTTATTCCCCCCTGCCCTTTTCTTTGTATCACCAGCATTAGCACCGTCTCTGATATAAGCTTGATGCTCAGTAAAACTGGTTGAATGAAAAAATGCTCTAGGCTAACAGCCCAGATAGCAATGAGGACAAAGGATTATTCTGGTTGCCGAAAGCACACAAGAACAGAACTAATCCTTCTCCTTTACATCAGCCCTTTCAACTCCCACTTGCTTTCCCTGAGACTTTGCCAAGACAGATCTCTCATAAAGCAACAGTGCAGCGGGACTGCATTATCAATCTGTTATTACCAACCAGGAAATATGACCTCAACCCAGGACAATATGGTCCATCTACATGGCAGGTGTTCATCCTGTGTCCCTCCATATCTTCACTGTAATTTTACAACCCCAAAGCCTCCCGTAATTGGAGGAGGATGAAACATCTGGATGTTGCAAGCTCTCTCGACAGGTTGTCTATACCATCACCTTCAAAATCGATGCACGAGAAATGAGAGTTTCTTGAACCGCAGAACCGTGCCTGGCAGCAGAACATGCTGGTGAAGTCTCTCCATGGTATTAAGCAAAGACTGCCTGGATTTCCTTTGGGAGTGACTGGGGATCTGCAGTCTGGCAGTAAAAGAGGCCATGCGTAGGACCAAATGATGACTTCATTTTGAATGTGTTTGTGCTGGGATAAAGGATGTCTTCTAATTGACGCATTTGGGAAATTAATAAGTGAATTCAGCAAATACTTCATCAGTGCCAGAGGATCGTTCTGACCGTAAGACGGAAGCCTGTATCTGAATAAAGGAGAGATGAGGGGTAGGTCAGTGTAAACACGAAGGCAACGTGGGGAGACTGGGTACTGGGAAATCGGCAGGAGGCAAGGTGCGTCCTGGAAACTACACTAGAAACTCACCAGGATTCACAAATCAGCCATGATGGCACCAAAGAGAGAATCAATTGGCGGATCAGAAAAATCAAGTCGATGATACCAAAAATTCGTGATGACAGGGTAGGACTAGAAATTGGCCTGATTGCTCTGGAAGGCACTTTGGCATGATCTTTAAAACACTGAGACACTTCTATACTGTGATATACAATTCCTCTCAGTATATTCCTAGAGAAACACTCATCCAAGCACAAAGGAAGGTATATGATAAGTGCACTGCAAGATGCTCACCACAGCAAAAATTGGGAACAGCCCAGCTATCCAGGATTGGAGGAAGAAGTAGACGAACTCCAATGCAGTCACCTATGGGATACCATGCAACAATGAGAAATGCATCAACATGTACATATTCCCAAGATACTGTGTTGAGAATGGACCAAGAAAGCAAACTATCATAGGACATAGCAAGCATGTTGTAGTTTTCTTAAATGCACCTACTCAAAGTAACAATACTGTATATTGTGCCTCTCTGCTGCCAAATATTTGTAATTGTGCAGTGGGTGGTCCAATAGGTTACACCCCAAAGTGTGAACAGCGGTCACTCTTGGGGATGGGGTGGGAGGTAGACTTGGGGGTGGGGGCTTGTGGAGATTTTAGCCTTGTCTATAGTATCTGTTCATTTCACAAAGGATGATATGGTCAGACTTTACTAGTGGAAATTAAACATTTATTTATTTTAAAAGATCTTATTTATTTGAGAGAGAGCACAAAAGCGAGAGAGAGAGCACAAAAGCGAGAGAGAGAGAACATGAGCATGAGTGTGGGAGGGGCAGAGGGAGAGGGAGAAGCAGACTCCCTGATGAGCAGGGAACCCGATGCGGGGCTCCATCCCAGGACCAGCCTGGGATCATGACCTGAGCCAAAGGCAGATGCTCAACCTACTGAGCCACCCAGGTGCCACTTTTTAAGATTTTATTTACTTATTTGAGAGAGAGAGAGTGAGAGCGATTAAGAGAGAGAAAGATCATGAGCGAGGGGAGTAAACATTAAAAAAAAAAAAAAAACCCACCTTGTTCAAAAGCATGAATGAGTAACAAGAAAACCAAGGAACGGAGCAGAGTGAATTTGCACTTGAAATTGCAGCCAGGAGAAAGGGGAGGGCTCAGAATGAGACCAAGGTTTCCTGGTGCCCAGATGCGGCTCGTTTATTGATGGCTGATCTCTCTGCTGACGTTCTCAGCCCTGTGCTACCTCCGGGTATCAAGGAACTTCTGACAAACGTGGAAAAAGAAGGCTGTTCCAGCAAGGAACAACAAGTAACTCAGAGGTGGGGGTACGGAGAAAGGAAGGGACAAGGAACAGGGATGTCACTGAGTCTCTTAGATAAAGAAAGGTTTCCCGGGCACCACTGCTGACACAGGGCTTATATAACATTTTAACAAATCATCTGAAAGGTATTTATAGTTAAATACCTCAATAGACAAAGTACACTTAAGCTTGGGTGTAGGAAAATGCCAAGCAGATAAGGATAAACAAACCACAGAGCAGGAACGACCCGCAGGTCTGCCCCAGTCTCAAAATTCTCACATCTCCCCAAATTGTCCTGTGGATTAAATAAGATTACTCACGAATGCCCTCAGAAAATTGCAAAATGGTACACAAACTGTTGCTTATTACCACGATTATGTCACTGTTGGTTTTACATTGGAATTTGATAACAGAGCTCAAAAACGGGGTCCATAAAGGAGTCTGGGGTTCTGCTCAGCCACCCGCTTTGACTGTGAGTGCTTGACAAGAATGATCCTGTTTTTACAAGGAGCCTCAGCTCTTAGTTCGTTTTTTAATAGAAGTGCTATATCCCAATTTAAAAGTCGGGGAAGTAGAAGAGAAATAAAGCCACCCATCACCTCAACAGCCCCAAAATGTCACAAAGCACTTTCTATGTGAGTAAGTGAATAAGAGAATGAATGAATTTGATGTATTTAACCCATGCCTCCTATTGGAACAGCCATCCCCTCCAGATCCCTTTGTGGGGGGTGGGGGGTGGGTATCTCTGTACAAAGGTTTCCATTCTCCGGCCTGCCCCTAATGCCTAAGAATGTCCCAGTGCTGAGAATATGGTTGATGGTTGGTGGCTGGCAGAGGCTCTGTTTTCCAGGCTTTATTATTAGTGTTATGGTTATGGTTATTGTTACCACTTCGTGTTGATAAAGTGGACTGTTTTCTGAACTGCTTGGTCTATTTGCTTAATTTTTAAGGTAAAGAAAACACTCTTCAGGTACTGCAGAGTATAAAGATGAGACAGGGTAGGAATCACACATCACAGTACATTTTAATATAAAATAAAGGCTCCACAGAAAGAGTTCTACAGAGGCACAGATTATTTCAAAGAATAAGTCAGCCTGGAATGATGAAAAGCTCTTTCAATACTCTTTGAGGACGGATATGGAATGGCAGAGGACCCTTCTCCCTGAGGCTGTCAAGTGGAGACAAATACAGTAAGACAGGTAATTATAACCGTGAGAGACGAACTGCCCAACAAACATTCAGAACGTGTTCATTTGTTGGTGACTCACTTCGTTCTGGAATTCTTTTACTGGCCAGATTTTTCAGGATCCATTGTTTTATACTGTTCATTTTGTGATGGACGCTCTATCAGCTCCTGTTTCTCCTCCCCTAGTCCCCAAGTTTGGGGCCCCAGGACCTATACTACTCCTGAATTCCAAAGCCCATCAAATGGGACAACCCCCATTATCTAAAACTGGCTGCCAAATAATTCTGGGACCAAGTGACACAGGGGGATTCTTTTCATTCCCTGAATTCTCTCCCCTCCACACTCAAGGGGCTAATTCCATCTGATGGATCAAGCTATCATTCATGTGTGGATTCATTCTGTAGATATTGACGGAGCACCTGTCACGCATCATGCACGGTTACAGCTCTGAGGGTCAATGAGAGAACAAAGACCCTGCCCTCACTGAATTCCATTCTAGTGCTGGCAGGTGGGTAAGAAAGAAGCGAGCAAATAATGCGAGTTTGGATACACTACAAAGGACACAAAACAGGGTATTGGGTGAAAAGTAACTGGGGGGAGGGAGGGAAACTACTTTGGTCTGAATGGTCAAGGAGATATTAAAATCTGAGTTGAGACCTACATGGGAAAGAGCCAGTCAAGTGTAAGTTGAAAGTAAATGCGTTCTAGGAAGAATGACAGCAAGAACACAGGCCCCAGAGCAGAAAAGAAGTAGATGTGTTCAAAGAACAGAAAGAAAGCCACTCATTGGCTTTTCTGGTTGGAGCTCAGAGAGCAAGGGGGAGAGTGGTAAGATGATGTAAAGAAAGCCAGAAAGCAGACCACTTGGGCAGAGAAGGACTTAGTAAGGAGCTCACTGAAGTGCCAAGCTTCTGTCATGATACGCATGTTCATCCATCTGGTCAACCTGCTTCATGTTCTATCCTCCCCACATCACTGGCGGTCTCTCCTAAACCCCTACTCATACCAATTTGTATATTACTCTTACAAATCCTCTTACCAGAGCTTGGCTCTGCTCTCCATGCCCCTGAGCAAACCCTGCAGACTTGCCTAAAAAAGGAGCTCTCAGTCCAAGAAACAGGAGGACCTGACACCAATATTCTGGTTCGTTCTGTAAATCCCGGCTCATCCCAGGCCTTCTAAACCATGTCTGATTCTGCTTTGCCTTTTGGATTTAATACCTTGGGCATTTTGGAGAAGTAAAGCCCATATCCTACCCTGACTAAGTGGGATTCCACTTGGTCCCGTGTCCTTCCCTCCTCCCCACTGGCCTGTGTCTGATCCTTGCATGCTTTGTCCTGGCCGTGTTCTTGTTAAGGCTTGATTGCATATCACAGTGGCCCTAAACAGTACTGTTAAGCTTAATCATTGGACTAATTCACCAGATTTAGCTCCAAATAATTCTTGGCTGTTTCAAAGAATCAAATCTGGAGATTTGTCACAACTGAGGACATTTAAAAATTATGTTCAGGCTCTGATGGCAATTTCCAAAGAGCAATTCCCAGAATAGCTGGGACACTGCCATGTAATTGGAATAGAGCTATGACCTCCTCAGGGGTCTACTTGGAAGAAGGACCACATCCACGTGAGTGCATAAATCACCAATGTATTTGTTAATAATCAGCCTCATTCCCTACCTATCACCCATGTGTTTGTGGTCATAACTCCTGCAGCACTTTGGGGTCCAAATTCTTATTTGATAAATCAGGCACCAGAATGGCTGCAGGGCAGCAAAGCTGAAAAGTCACATGCACCGACCTGCATTTTGGGCAAAAGCTCCGTGCATGGCACGGTTTCAGACCCTTCGTCATTCTGGCTGCCCTATTTTCACCTCTGGTTTTCAACAAGCGTTCTTTTTTTTTAAAGATTTTATTTATTTGAGAGAGAGAGAATGAGAGAGAGCAAGCACATGAGAGGGGGGAGGGTCAGAGGGAGAAGCAGACTCCCTGCCGAGCAGGGAGCCCGATGCGGGACTCGATCCAGGGACTCCAGAATCATGACCTGAGCCGAAGCCAGTCAGTTAACCAACTGAGCCACCCAGGCGCCCTCAACAAGCATTCTTTAATGATACTGAGGATTGTATTCTCTCTTCCTCGTGCAGTCTGAGCAGGGTAACAAGGCATGCGTGGTTGACCTTCTCTCCAAAGACCAACGGTGGTACCCAGGCCAGGTCCAGCTCCCACACATTGAGTGTCTTGAACAATAGAAGTGTTTACTTTTAAAAAGTGTTGTCAACATTAAAGAATTGGAAGGGAACTCATAAACTCAAGATTTTAAAACTTTTGCAACAAGACTGTAAGACAGGCCCACACTGGGTCCACTTTGCTTGGAAGGCAACAAAACAGCCGATCCACTTTGGCACCTGTTCCCTTTGGGTCAAGGTATGAGCTCCCATTGGTCACTGTTCCTACCTGGCCCAACGAAATGTACGTGTTTCTGATCTCTGCAGGTAGGCTACAAGCCAAGCAATTAACAGTGGCAAATGTATCGATTTGGAGTCGGGAGGAACAACCTGACGCATGCAGCCAAAAAATCATCATTGATCACTCACAGCGTGAGATACCACACTAGACTCTACAGAGATGGTCGTGAGCAAGACGACACAGAAGCTGCCCTTGGAGAACCTGTAGTTTAGCAGGGAAGAAAGACTATAAACAAAGACAAGAAGTGTTTCCAAGGGAAAGCAGAAAGCACCGTTAAAACAAATAGAAGAAAAATCTGCCTTATCCAGATCAGAGAAGCCTTCTCTGATGCAGTGACATTTATTTTTTTTATTATTTGGGGGGGGGGGCAGAAAGAGAGGGAGAGAGAGAATCTTAAGCAGGCTCTC